TTGTGCTCTGCTTTTTATCTTCCAATTTTTTTTTTCGCAACAGGTCTTCTCTCCAATCTTCCTACGTTTCTGTGGGGGTCCCGCAAATTTTTTCTTTGGGGCTTCATTTTTTATACTTCTAAGATTTACTGGTTTTTGAGCGTTCCTTCCTTGTTTTTTTTGAGATTTCGTGAGATATGCAGCACATTCTGTTCCCCCTCGGCTCGATCTCTTTTTTCTTGCAAAAACTTTTTTTTTGTTCTTCCCGGACGTCTCGGGAGCGGTGAGACTTCCGTATTTTATTCAGGTGGATGGAAAACAGGAATAAACTCGGGTTTGTCCTCTGGCCACGATCTGGATCTTATTAAGATTGGTCAAGCCAGGAACAAAATTATGGATATTAAGCTGAATCAGGTATGAAAATAGCCAAGAACCCTTTTGGAGCTTCCGCTGTTTCATAGCAAATCTTGCAAATCATGATTTAGGTATCCGACTCTGTTTCGGGCCAGACTGTTGTTGATCCTAAAGGTTATCTGACCGATCTACAATCAATGATTCCGCAATACGGAGGTGATATCAATGATGTCAAGAAGGTTGGCTTCAAGATCTCTTCAGAATCCTGTTAGGAATTGGTAGTGTTGATGTGTTACAGGCAAGAATGTTGTTGAAATCAGTGCGCGAGACTAATCCGAAACATCCACCAGCATGGATTGCAAGCGCGCGTCTCGAAGAAGTCGTCGGAAAGCTTCAGGTGCAGTTTAGATAAGGCTTTCTTCATTTATTCATCATTCCAATTGTATGCTTCAGTTTGTCATTAGATAAGATGGTGTGTCGCAGTTCCACTGAAAATGTATTTTTTTGTCTATTTCGATTTATTTTGAAAACATAGCCCTACAAAAGGGGTTCCCAGTCATGGAGTCTATTTTTTTCGAGGCGGGTTCTCGCACTTGTAGGGGTTCGTGCGAGGAACACAAAGGTGTTGTTCATCTTCACTGCGCAGTTTTTAGGAATGCTACGAGTGGGCAATAAAGTAGCAAGTTCACGACGAGCCCAGCGATACAATGGTCATCTATTTTTTTTAGCAAAGATCCTGGTGCGCTTAGAACTTTTATTCGGGCAAAACGTTCCGACTTTTATGGACACAAGGGAATCAAAATATAGGAAATTGCAAAACTTTATCATCATGGGGATTCAAACCATCAGCGTGATCCTTTCTTTGGCCTTTCCACAAGCGTGCAGTGAGGATGAACTACTCTTTTGTATTGCTGTCCTGAACCTCTACAAAAGCAACGAGCTGTTTTGAAAAATGGCTCTTTAAACTGAAGACCCCCTCCTTCTCGTTAGTTCATATGAATTATTCAGGTTGCTCGCCATCTTATTATGGAAGGATGTGAAAAGAACAAAAAGAGCGAGGATATGTGGCTAGAAGCTGTCAGGTATGTATGGTGAAATAGAGCGCTGCTCGATTTAGGGCGGGGCGCTTTTTTCGCTGATTCATGTTGACTGATAGGTCTCTTTTTGGTGAGACCTCACCTTCTATAAAACCACGCAGTAGTGCAAAAGAGCTATTATACTTCGAGAATCTGCAGGTCTCCCAGGGATGACTG